GATAAAGCAACCCTTTTCTCTATGTATGAGGTCATTTTTTTTTATTGGAGTTAAAATTAACGTAGATATATGACCGAACCTAACCAACCCTACCTAACCTAACCTAACCTATATTTATAGGTAAGGTTAGGTTAGGTAGCCAAAAAAAGCTAGGTTAGGTTAGGTTAGGTAGGTTAGGTAGACGAAAAAACATTAATTCATGAAAACTTGGCTTATTAGGCAAATCGGGCCTTGAATACTAGGCTGAGAAGTGCGTTCTGGCTATTAGGTACGACATATATATATATATATATATATATATATATATATATATATATATATATATATATATATATGGGGGTGGTAGGAGAGGAAAAGATTAAAGTATTCAGTGAGACTCCACAAGGTCTTCTCTGAACACTATTTATTTTCTTCTTCGAGGATGTGGGTCCCTTTAATTAAACCAGTGGTGGTACCCCTAAAATAAATAAATAAATATATATATATATATATATATATATATATATATATATATATATATATATATATATATTTTGTTTTATTTAAACTTTGTTACAAAAAAGGAGTTACATATAGGGTACGACGATGATTATCCTAAGTTATCGAGTTCCTCCAGCTCCTCAAATGGCGGGATACCAGTTAAATGTTGCAGGGCCATGACGTGGCACCATCTGGGCGACGAGCAGGAGTGCCAGGATGCTGGTAGCTAAGAAACCACAGTTATATCGTGCCCAAGGATGTGGCGAGGCGCGCACGCCATCTGTCGGCGTCTCCACGCCTCACAACCTGCCCGCCGAATTGATATTTACATCAGTTTCTCCTTGGGATGCAAGTCATAACGTACACAAGACGGTTCGCTAGCGGATTGTTCAACCTACTTGTACCCCACCCAGAACCAAGCGAACCCAAACTAACCCACTGTGTCCACTGCCACTGTGGGCGGCAGTGGACCCCATACCCATCCCGTGGGCGGCAGTGGACCCCATACCCATCCCGTGGGCGGCAGTGGACCCCATACCCATCCCGTGGTCGGTGGTCGGAAAAGGTTAGAAGAACGTAGTGAACTCAGGGACTGAACCCCAGAATTCATGCAAGCAAGTGACAATCTTGTTAAGCTAGTTATACACAGTTTAACCCTAATGTATAACGAGTATCGTTTATAACTCAAATGGTTCAAGGACTGACCCACCACATCCCCCGAGCACAGCACTGTGTGTGTTCACCTGTGCTCACCTCACTGGTCATGAGTTGTGGGTGGAGGTGGCTTCCACGACTTAATCTTTCAGTACATTCCATGTTGATTACCATCCTTGCTCCATACCAGCACTTCCCTACCTGGTTGATGGGGTTCTGGGAGTTCTTCTACTCTCCAAGCCCGGCATTACTTTACTAAGCCCCCTGCGTTACTTTTAACGCGTTTGCATTTCCAACTTCCACCGACATACTTTTTCACTCTTAAATCATAGAAGTCCTTGTCCACCGTGCCTCTTGTCTTGAGTACTTTGCATGAAGTGATCATGATATCTGCTGCTTGTCGCGTGTAGTGTTGGTGGGGTTCATGTGCCTTGACCTGGATGGTGGTAGCGAGGGCGGCGGTAACGGGCACAGTGAGGCGTTGAGGGGTAGGGCCTCGTCTGGTGGCGGCCTGGGGCTCCAGTACTCCGCACTCAAGGTCATCTCTTCCAGCATCCATCTCTCTCTCTCTCTCTCTCTCTCTCTCTCTCTCTCTCTCTCTCTCTCTCTCTCTCTACCCTAAGATAAGGGATGGAGTCTTGACCCCCATCTCCCTTCTCCACCCCTCGCTCCCCTCTACACATTGCTCCTCTCCCCCATCCCCCCCTCCCCTTGCCCCCCTCATCTCTGAAAACGTAATAAGTGCCGGGAGTTCGAACCAGGCACTCCCCTCCGCGGCACTGCCACTGGGAGGAGGGGGGGGGGGAGGGAGTGCCGACTGGTGGCTGACACGGGCCCTCAGTGTGTGTTGTACTCCCCTACACGTGTTCACCTAGAGGGGTTTTGATCGCAAGCTTCAGCTCTTGTGACTCGCCTTTCTGCCTCTGGTCGCCTGTTGCGGTGGTCCCCTGGTTCGTACACGGGGTATTTGCCCTGCCTTATATCCCTACGGCTCGTCCCTCCAAGTAGCACGGGCTATGGCGAGCCCGTAGTAGAGAGAGCGTTTAGCAGTCCTCTCAACCTGTGTGGCTGAGCTGGGCCCACTCCAGCGGTCCTGGGTTCACTCCACTTGGTCTCTGACCGGTGTCGCCTGGTTGGTGGGCGTGTCAACCAGGCTGTTAGAGGCTGCGGTCCGCAGTCTGAGCATGGTCTTGTTTTGCTCGTTTTTTTTCTGTACGTTTGACTGTACTCTTGTTTAATTTAACCGTCTGTCTGAACCCGTCTGTCCCCCTTGTGTCTGTCTACCCAAGAGTGCGTCTACCTGCCCAACCGTCTCTGTCCACGCGCCCGAAATCAATAAATATGTAATATATGCAAACCAGGAACTGATTCCTGTTTGTGTTAATTTACCGTTAGCTCCGAGTTGCTTCCAACTTTCCCCTACCGGTCCCTTCCTCGCTTTGTTGGGGGGGGGGGGGAGGGTCCGGTGAGTGGGAGAAAGTTGCCGCCTGACCATGATACGCAGGTTCGAATCCTCGTCACGGCCCTTGTGGAGTTGTTCATGATATGCTTGTTATGGGGGAGGTTGGGTGTAGTTTGTACCATGACGAATATATTATACTAGGAGGGGGGGTGGGGTAAAGGAGGGTTAGCCGGCGGTGCCCGGGACAGTCTGTCTTACCTTCCCACCATCATTCCATTATCTCTTTCCCATTTCCTCTCACCCCTCTCCCATTTCCCCATCTCACATCTTAACTACGTGCTACCTTCACTGTACGGACAACGATTGTCACCGTAGCCATCTTCACTGCTCACTATTTTTATCCTTTATCACATCCGCGATTTCAATTCAGAATTCATGGAAATCGCACTTTGGGGTGGGGGTTACAGGCAGGTATTGCTTAGTTTTTTTTTTTAATTAAGGCCGTCGCGTACCCCAAATTATCTTGAGTGTAACTAGGGGGGTATGAATTAATACATCTTTTTTACCTTAAACTCGTACTCATCCTGTTAATGGTAGTGGCAGCCATACTCATCCTGTTAATGGTAGTGGCAGCCATACCCATCCTGTTAATGGTAGTGGCAGCCATACCCATCCTGTTAATGGTGGTGGCAGCCATACTCATCCTGTTAATGGTAGTGGCAGCCATACCCATCCTGTTAATGGTAGTGGCAGCCATACCCATCCTGTTAATGGTGGTGGCAGCCATACCCATCCTGTTAATGGTAGTGGCAGCCATACCTATCCTGTTAATGGTAGTCGCAGCCATATACCCATCCTGTTAACGGTAGTGAAAAAGGTTACAGAGGCATGTATAATGAATGATCTTGGGAACCGAACCTCCAAATATTCGTTTAGTTGATAAAGTTACAGCATTGCTGAACTAATTACTGAATTAACATGTACCTTAACACCCTGCTCACAATTGTTGTTAGTTTAGCTTGATTTAACATGTTAGTCCAACCCGTTCTCGCAAATTTAATAAGTCAATATTGACTTATTAAATATGTGCATAGGTGACATACTTAACATAATAGATACCCTTAAAAAGATTCATAGAAAACACCGACCTTACCTAACCTTGTTAGTATCTTAAGATAAGCATCTTATTGATTCGTAATTACAATTATTACCTAACCTATAATAGTAGTCTCATAAGGGGTTTGTGAACTGAACTCCAGGGTTGTGTAAACTAATTTACATTTGTGGTGTACTAGGCTTTATTGCGTCGGATATGTGATAGAAGGGTAACTATCTTATTGTTTATGCATGTACTTTACGTGACCATAAGATAAAGAAGCAATAGACTTGAAAGCTTACAACGTTCTACAATAGACAAGCTTTGTTTAGTCTCTATTTTACCCGTTTACTGGCAGGAAGTACATTCTGAAAGTTTCCTGAAGGTACTTCCTGAAGTTTCCAGGAAGTACATTATGAAAGTACACGGGGATATGTATACTCAGAAAGGTGTGTGCTCAGGTGTTCGGTATATATATACACCGAGTACACTTGTTAGTCACGAAACTATTGTGGTGGCCATAATAACCTTTCAGAGGTGGATAGGCTTTAGAGTGGGGTCAGGGAGTAGCCTCAGTCTCACCACTGGCGGCAAGGAAGCTTGGATAGAGTAACACTTGGGTGAAGAGTGCCTTTCACTCGTCGAGGGAGTCCAGTGTGAAGCCTGCGGAATTGTCGGGTCGCAGTGTGTCGTGTTGGTGACTGTTGCTGGTGATATGGCTGGCAACGGCCGCTCGCCCGTCCGCCCGCCCGTCGGCCCCACACACCCGCTTTCTCTTCCACAAGGCGCGCGCGGGAAAAAATGCCCCGCGCCTCTTGACATGTTTCCCCTCTCATCTCACACACCTCCTTTTCCGTACGATCCTCTATTTGGATTGTACGTTTAGCTACGGGTTCACTTGGTAACTAAGTGAACTCTTGGTTGTATGTGGAGGAAGTGAACTCTTGGCTATATCTGAAGCACGTGAACCCCTGGTTATGTCTGGAACAAGTGGACTCTTGGTTATGTCCTTGCAGCACATACAGCTCCTGGGCCTGCACTTGTGGGCGGACGGGAGGCCTGTTGCTGGTCTTGGAGGCCGTTCTTGGCAGCCCGTACTCGCAACCGTTCCCAACGGTCGCTCCTCCACCAAGCCAATATACGAGCATACTCCAGAATCATGCGTTATCCTTACAAAACCATTCGAAAATCACTTTGAATAAATGTATGATGAAAATCAGCTTTTTCAACAATATCCTTTTAAATTAATGCACAATATCCTGGAAAATTAGTAAGTTTTATACACTGGGAAACACTGCCCATCACATCTTTTTCTCAAAGCTCATTCCCTAATGAATACATTTTTACTCTAAAACGTTGTGGTGGCAGTACTGGGGACGACTCGAACACCCTCTCCACTCAGCTCTCTACACTTTCTGGGGCCAGGAAAATCCAAATGACTACCATTAACAACTGGCTACCATCTCTGTCTGAACACGTCACTCCTCACCTGGCCTGTCCCTCTACGCCAGTTCCCGTTCCAAGTTTGTTGAATGGTCATTTAGGTAAGATCTGAACCATTTTGGCATGACAGACTGTTGTGTGACGCTTCACACTGTATTGTTGAGTTCACTAGATGAATGTGAGCACCTTTCAAAGCCTCTATATCTTTCCTGAGTTATTGCGGCTTAGTTTACATTTGTTAAACAGTTTATGAGTTCCGAAGCGCTATACGAAGTTATACTGTATAAATAATAATCTTGGATTGCGGGTTTTTGACGCTCGTAAGTTTAGTAAATACTAAGCCATTACGATCCAGGAAAGATGTACATGTTTCGTAAGTAAATACTTCATGACTCTCCTGGCTGTAACCGTCTTAGATTACATGATCCACGTTGTAATAGTGTTTGTGTGGTGTGAGGAGCGTTCTGTATGATGCATGTTATCTAAATGTTCACTTGTTCATTGTTTGTGTCCCCCCCCTGGCTGAACACTCATGATGCTGCTGCTGCACGTGTGGTGTTGAACTGTGTTGCACCGGCTCAATGTTCATCTTCATTTCGCCTTTTAATGATCTTTGTTCAGTTGCATGGCTTTGTGTTCACCCTGACTTGCACATGTTCAACTGTCACGATTACATATTTGCATGGTTATATCTCTCCTCGAGAAGTTTTGATTTGATGTTCATGCTGGAACAAACTGTTTTTTGCTTTTGTTTTTGCTACACCGCTCAGTTTGTTCACCAGCCTGACGTCCCTCCTGGGGTTTCCTCTGCTCCCGACCACATCACCAGCCTGACGTCCCTACAATGGTTTCCTCTGCTCCCGACCACATCACCAGCCTGACGTCCCTCCAATGGTTTCCTCTGCTCCTGACCACATCACCAGCCTGACGTCCCTCCAATGGTTTCCTCTGCTCCCGACCACATCACCAGCCTGACGTCCCTCCAATGGTTTCCTCTGCTCCCGACCACATCACCAGCCTGACGTCCCTCCAATGGTTTCCTCTGCTCCTGACCACATCACCAGCCTGACGGACACTAACCACGAACTCTGATTCTCTCAGTGACCTCCTCCCCCCCCCTCCCCCCCCACACTCATCCTAATAGTGTGGGGGGGAGGGGGGGGGGTGCTCATTAGTGTGCTCACACACTAATGAGCATCCCGCACATTAGAGTGCGGGATGCTCCCGGACGCAGGTTCGAATCCTAGTCACGGCCCTTGTGGATTTGTTCACCCCATGGGGGCGTCTTTGTTCCCAACAGTGATTACCTACATTGTCTCTCATCTCAGGAGGATGTCTCCGGTGTCTCTCTCAGCGGCCTATTAAGTGACACAGGCTAAGCCTCTCTGCGTGACGCTACAGTTAATATAAGACTTCTCTCCTTGTGTGTTTCCAATCCTAATGCGACTTCTTTGAGCATTCTCCTCCTCCTCCTCCTCCTCTGTAGGTACAGTGATTTGGTGTAGTATCTTTGTGTGTTCCTCTTTGTCTTGTGATCGTCTTATATCTTTTCCATTCTCCTTACATGTGGCTTTGATTCCTTTCTTCTCTCTAGCCTTGCCTCTCCTACCCACCTCTTCTCCTCTTTCTCCTTGTAAACTGCATCTCATTCTTCTCTTTCATCTCGCAATGTCTCTTCATTGTGGTCCTGACTCTTTAATCACCTTGCAAATTAATGTTGTATTTTTTGGATTTATTTTAGACTCGACCAACACTGGCGAGTTGCAACACGTGTGTTGCAGCAGTGTTGGAGCTGCGTACCAGCAACAAGAAGTCCAAACATTTGGTTTACAAAGTCGACACAAGGTGGACACACTCTTGACAACAACATGGGAAGGTGCCAGCACACACACGTTCAATATCAGGACAAAATATGTAGTAAAATATGACGGTGCGCTTCCGAAGGGGATTGTAAAGCGGTCAAGTATTTTGTTTCTCTCTCCTGAAACCTTCAAGGAACTATCAGTGTTATACTTGGGAGACGTTGGGTGTAGATCACTTTCTGAAGTGTTCAGAGCTGTCAAGGGATGCTGCGTCTTGGGCAGTCAAGCGCTCACAGTTGTCAAGGAATGCTGCGTCTTGGGCAGTGCAGCACTCACAGCTGTCAAGGGATGCTGCGTCTTGGGCAGTCAAGCGCTCACAGGTGTCAAGGGATGCTGCGTCTTGAGCATCCCACCGAAGAAAATATCACGTGCTGGGAAAATGGGTCAAATTCCTGAACTGAACGCGTCAAGAAATAGAATAAACAATATGGGGCAAAATGCTTCGAGTTATATTGAAAGAAAGAAACATTTTCAGGGGTTCGAGTCGTTTAGAACATTTGTGACTAAATCCCAAACTGAAGAGACGTTATCTTTCTCTGTCAATCAGGTTCACACAGACAGCATCGTATACACAGCTGCTCCAGTGACTATGGAAGTCTTAGAACAGAAAACTGTGTACTCGAAGGGAGAACATGACCCGGGGAGCTTCACGAGGCTTCAACAGGGTCACTATTGTAGTGTGTGTGGGGCGGCAGTGAAGTGTATTAGCAGCGGTGGCATGCCTGTCAGCTTCATTAGCAACGGTGGAACGGCAGCCAGCTTCAATAGCAACGGTGGAACGGTAGCCAGCTTCATTAGCAACGGTGGAACGGCAGCCAGCTTCATTAGCAACGGTGGAACGGCAGCCAGCTTTATTAGCAACGGTGGAACGGCATCCAGCTTTATTAGCAACGGTGGAACGGCATCCAGCTTTATTAGCAACGGTGGAACGGCATCCAGCTTTATTAGCAACGGTGGAACGGCAGCCAGCTTCATTAGCAACGGTGGAACGGTAGCCAGCTTCATTAGCAACGGTGGAACGGCATCCAGCTTTATTAGCAACGGTGGAACGGTAGCCAGCTTCATTAGCAACGGTGGAACGGTAGCCAGCTTCATTAGCAACGGTGGAACGGTAGCCAGCTTCATTAGCAACGGTGGAACGGCAGCCAGCTTCATTAGCAACGGTGGAACGGCAGCCAGCTATATTAGCAACAGTGGCACGACGGCGAACAGTGTCATCAACAACGGAAACCTTGGGCAAATCTCGGCCACCTGTACAAGAAGTCTTCATTTCCCAGAACCTCTGACCAGGAGAACAACAGCATGGTATTATTTCCCGCGTGAAAACCACGTAAGAAAAGGTACAAGTGACCACCTCTTCGAGTCGACTAATGCGGCCCAGGCCTCACTCCTCACCCTAACTACTCCACCAGACGTTATTCCCGTCCCCAGTACCAAATATTCCGGGGTGAGCGGCCATAAGTCCGCGCCTTCTAACGGCGCGATGTTAATATCCGTTATCTTGGATTATACTGCTGCATGGGCCGCGCCCCGGACGACAAGGAGTCGGCCTCCGTCGCATTTTCCCGAACCGAAGACTTATTTTCGCTATAACATGGGGACAAAGTTCGCTATGAGGGCTCCAGATTACATTACGCTGGAAAGTAGTTTAAGGAGTTTCCCTGATGTTACATTTGGACATAGTGAACTACACACGCCGATGACTGCAAGTTGGGCACATTTGACAAACAGATGCAAAAAATAGTGTGTTTCAGATTTTGAATTCAGATTTATTTCTAGTCCTGAAATATGTAGACTGTAGTTACAAAATATATGGATTTATACATGTGAATTTAGTTTATAATTAATTTGTTTTACAATTGATTGTTCGATACAGGACTTTTAGGCTATTGTATGAGCTTGCCTTGAATGCTGTATTGTATTGTATTCTTTTCTTCAGTCTGCTTCCTCCATGTGATATTTTGCAGTGCCACCTTCATTCTTAGATAGTTTCTCGAAAGCAGGCATAGTACTTAGAAAGCAGGCATAGTACTTAGAAAGCAGGCATAGTACTTAGAAAGCAGGCATAGTACTTAGAAAGCAGGCATAGTACTTAGAAAGCGGGCATAGTACTTAGAAAGCAGGCATAGTACTTAGAAAGCAGGCATAGTACTTAGAAAGCGGGCATAGTACTTAGAAAGCAGGCATAGTACTTAGAAAGCAGGCATAGTACTTAGAAAGCGGGCATAGTACTTAGAAAGCAGGCATAGTACTTAGAAAGCAGGCATAGTACTTAGAAAGCGGGCATAGTACTTAGAAAGCAGGCATAGTACTTAGAAAGCAGGCATAGTACTTAGAAAGCGGGCATAGTACTTAGAAAGCAGGCATAGTACTTAGAAAGCAGGCATAGTACTTAGAAAGCAGGCATAGTACTTAGAAAGAAAGCATAGTACTTAGGACTCATAATTCTTCCACTCTAATTTGGCTGCTTTATTATATACAGTAGTGTATATTATTAACTTTGGTAGATTGAAATAATTGGCTTATGAGTTTTAAAATCACTGTTCAGTGTTCTGAAGTTGTCAACGCAGTTGATACACAACCCCAGGGGCCAGATTCACGAAGCAGTTACGCAGGCACTTACGAATCTGTACATCTTTCTCAATCTTTGGCGGCTTTGTTTACAATTATTAAACAGTTAATGAACTCCGAAGCACCAGGAGGCTGTTTATAACAATAACAAAAGTTGATTGGCAAGTTTTCATACTTGTAAACTGTTTAATAAATGTAACCAAAGCCGTCAAAGATTGAGGAAAGATGTACACGTTCGTGAGTACTTGCGAAACTGCTTCGTGAATCTGGTCCCCGAAGTCCCTGGTTGAATTCTCTCATTAAACGGAGACATTTGTGGACATTTCTTTCCACCTGATGATTTTAGTTCGCCCATAAGTAAATAGGTAATAGGAAGTCTGGCAACCGTTCTGGGTTGTGTCATGGATTTAAGGTTAGTTAATTATTTGCCAAAGAGGGACCCCAATTAGTAAAACTACAGGCTTCCTTAACCCAAAATACTGCACGAAATAGGGAACTTGATTAGTTAAAATATCCGAATGCCGTACCTAATTAACTAATGTAATCTGACACACTATTTTGTATAAATATATTATTATAATATCTTTATAAGTAGATTCATTACACAATCCTTTTAACATGAAATAAAAAGTCGACTTCGTTCTCGTCTCAAAATATGGAATCCCGGGTTCGACTCCCCGGCGGGACAGAAATGGTTGGGGCATGTTTCCTTTAACCTAATGCCTCTGTTCACCCAGCAGTAAAAAGGTACCCAGGAGCTAGTCAACTATTATGGGGGGGGGGGTGGCTTCCTGGGGAGGGGTGAGTAGTTTGATCCTGGGGGGGTGGCGGAGACCTCGATATAAGCCTAACATGTATATATATATACTCTGGCTGCCTGTCCCCCGACACAATATATTATGAAAAATCAACAAACCTCTTTTTCAAATCTTACAAAATTGTTTGTAATTGTTTTTCTCATAGCTTACTGGATTCACCATGGATTCTCTGATCCTATGAAAACGTAAATACAGTAATGTTGCTACAGTTCAAAATACAGCTTGACAAAAGTCACCAAGAAGAACAGAATGATAATTCACAATTATTAATCAACCTGCTTCGTAATTTGAACGTGGCTACGATATAGCTAAGCTAAATAAATTTTACAAGTTTACCCGTATAAATATGTAACGTTTTCTACAATCTTAAAACTACCAAAGAAAACGTAATTTTGCACGGTAACTTAAATATAAAATGTGCACGTTTTTTAGGTTAATTATACATCATGAACATAAATAGGTCTGAAATGGTCCGTCAGTTGTGAATCCCAACAAATGCCAATTAACAATAGCGGTGATAAGGACATGTCACATCTTTGCTTATATTGAGAATTAAATTTTGTTATTTGACATGTAGTTAATGCAGTGACTCTAGCACATTAATTCACCCCACAAATATTTAGATCACACATGTGGACATTTTTCCCCCTACAAACTGTGCATAGATACATTCTTTATAATAGTACAAGTCGTAGGCCTAAGCCTAGAAACAATGGGAGGGTAAGGGGATCAGGCACCATTGACAAGCCGCCGGGAGAGTGGCCCCTTGGATGAATAGGCCTAACACACTTTCCTGTCCCCCAACATGTCAAAACGCTTACTACTAATAAATGACTTGATACATTTTCATGATATATTTTGTTTTGCTTTATTGGATATTTAAAGGTTACAAGTAATACATTGAATACAATGAAAGGTTTAAAGTTGTGGATCTCTTGTAAATAAATAAAAATAATAAATGTTTATTTAGGTAAGGTACATACAAGAGATTTTTACAAAGATTGGTGGACTTATAGATAGAGCTAGTACATACAATGCCTAAAGCCACTATTACGCAAAGCGTTTCGGGCATGTAGCTGCTGTTGCTTCGGGATTGGAGCCGGAAGCAGGAAGAGACGGCAGGCGTTACCCCTCTGGATCGCATCACTAAGATGCTGAAACAGGAAAATGTCTAGGAGTAATTTAACAGTTCTTCTTGCACTGGTAGGAGCGGCTTAGGCTCATTTCCTGTGTATTCTCCTCTCCTTCTTCATAACCTAATCACTTATATTATATATATATATATATATATATGTCGTACCTAGTAGCCAGAACTCACTTCTCAGCTTACTATTTTTTTTTTTTTTTTTTTTTTTTTTTTTTTTTTTTTTTTTTTTTTTGAGATATATAGAAGAGTTGTTACATTCTTGTACAGCCACTAGTACGCGTAGCGTTTCGGGCAAGTCCTTAATCCTATGGTCCCTGGAATACGATCCCCTGCCGCGAAGAATCGTTTTTTCATCCAAGTACACATTTTACTGTTGCGTTAAACAGAGGCTACAGTTAAGGAATTGTGCCCAGTAAATCCTCCCCGGCCAGGATACGAACCCATGACATAGCGCTCGCGGAACGCCAGGCGAGTGTCTTACCACTACACCACGGAGACTGCTAAAGGCCCGATTATTCAAGGCCCGATTTGCCTAATAAGCCAAGTTTTCCTGAATTAATATATTTACTATAATTTTTTTCTTATGAAATGATAAAGCTACCCGTTTCACTATGTATGAGGTCAATTTTTTTTTATTGGAGTTAAAATTAACGTAGATATATGACCGAACCTAACCAACCCTACCTAACCTAACCTAACCTATATATATAGGTAAGGTTAGGTTAGGTAGCCAAAAAAAGCTAGGTTAGGTTAGGTAGGTTAGGTAGACGAAAAAACATTAATTCATTAAAACTTGGCTTATTAGGCAAATCGGGCCTTGCATAGTAGGCTGAGAAGTGAGTTCTGGCTACTAGGTACGACACATATATATATATATATATATATATATATATATATATATATATATATATATATATATATATATATATATATATATATATATATATATATATATATAAGAAGGTACATTGGGTTTATGAGGGTACATAACATAGATGTTTTTACATTCTTGTAAAGCTACTAACACGCATAGCGTTTTGGGCAGGTCCTTGATCTAACAAATAATATTAAATAGGTAATTTGTAGCAAATTTGAAAAATGTTAATAGGCACATTGTAAGAAAATTTTAAGGAAATTAGTAGGTACATTATAGTAAGGTTTGAGGTTGTACATTGTAGCATAATTTGAGGATTATTTTTAAGTGCATTGTAGTAAAGTCTGCGAGTAATATAACAAGTATGATATAAGATGATAGCAGTGATTACAATGGTGAAGTTGTATGGTTTAGGAACATATTATTGGGGGAGTGGGTAGCACAAGATACAGATACACTTGTTCATTGTCATTTTCCGTCTTATATAACTATGTATGAGTTTTGGTTTCTTTGCTTTAGAAGGAGTATCTTTTCATAGTTTCTTTCCGACACTTTTCTTGTATATATGTATTAATTCCGAGCTCTTTTGCATCTATTCTGGGTTTGTTCTTTGACTTTTGTATTTTTTTTCACTTCCTCCTGCTTTTCGTTTTTGCTTTTTGACACTGTCTATTGAACCATGGATTCAATATTGACCAAACCACACACTAGAAAGTGAAGAGACGACGACGTTTCGGTCCGTCCTGGACCATTCTCAAGTCGATTGAGAATGGTCCAGGACGGACCGAAACGTTGTCGTCCCTTCACCTTCTAGTGTGTGGTCTGGTCAACATCATTAGTTCCATCATGCACCCGGAGGACACATTCTAATTTATTGTTTCATTACACCTGTGCCTCGGATACGAGCACTCTACACTTGTGTGTCGAGGAATTAAGCCACAATCAGGGATGACAATCGAGTTCAATTAATGATATATCTCTGATATATTTGATCCTTTGATATATCCTGGTCGAGGGGCATAGAGTATTGCAAGCAATCCTGTCTTCAGACTGGAGTGGTTTATACAAACCACTCAGAACAGTTGTCGCGTGTCGTTGTCACAATAAGTGCCCTTCTGACGGCCCCCAAGTGGTGTAGAGAAGCATCAGTGTAGTGTAGGACCTGTGACCGGAGTCATCCACCAGGCTGAAGGCATCACTTGCGGCCTTTGCCCCAGGTCTCGGCGTGGGTTGAGAACGCTTACATTGTAATCTGGCGCCGGATAGCAGGGCTATTTCGCGCCCAAACTCTCTATCTATAGCACGGGTAAATATTCGCGAGGATATATTTGTAGAAGGTGTGAAGAAACGGCGATAAATATAGCTCTGGGTGGATATATTTATACGAGAGGGGGGTGAGGAAGAGATACCCGCGTGTGTATGGATACTGCTCTGTATGGATATATCCACCAGCAGTGTTAGAAGTGAGGGAGAGAGTGATCCCCCCCCTGCCTTCGTAGTTTTTAACTGGTGCTGTTTTTATATTTCTCTGGTGTTTACGCTGAGTTCTGTATCTGTTGTGGTGGGAGGGAGGTGGCTTCCATGGCTTCTTTTTCTTTGAGTGCTTTCCACTCCTTGTCCAACCCATCTGGGTACTTGTACCCAGCTTCCAAGATTGTCTGCTTGTCCCATCTTTCTCTCGGTGGAAGCAACGAGGGAGGAGAGAGGGGGGAGGGGAGATTTCGAGGGGAAAGTGAGGGAAGTGGAAGGGAACTATCTGGGGGGAAAGCGCCAAGCCCTTACGGCTACATAGCACCGGGAATGGAGGGAGGGAATGAACAGCTGTTCACTGCTCAAGACTGTTCAGCTGTGTTCACGATCGTACCCAGCCAAGGGTGTCAGGTTGTGCGTGTGCGTGTGCGTGTGCGTGTGCGTGTGCGTGTGCGTGTGCGTGTGTGTGTGTGTGTGTGTGTGTGTGTGCGTGCGTGCGTGCGTGCGTGCGTGCGTGTGTGTGTGTGTGTGTGTGTGTACGGTTTCTAATTCAGGGTGACCAGTTAATGGTGTCGCTACTCATTTTAATCTATTTTAACGTAACCTAATCTAGCGTATCCCCGCGTAACGTAACTTAACGTTACCTGACGTAAACTAACGTAACCTAACGTACTGTTACGTAAGCTAACGTACTGTAACATAACGTAAGACAATATAAGCTTTCTAGAATATGGGCATCATGTCTCTTGTTTAATGTAGAGAGGTCCAGCTCCCTCGGGCTTCACTCCTCTTAGTTCTAGCAACGT